CTGGGACTCTTTTGGGCCTTGGGAAGCTTCAGAAGAGTCCCAGAAGGTGGCAGTTTTGCCCCCTCTGGCCTCCGAGGGGGCCTGGGTGAGCCTCCAAAGGTCCTAGGGTGTGTTCCATAAGACGGACCTCTCCATAAGGCTCACCAATTTTTAGGAGAAGAAAACAGATTATTTTTTTCTTGTTTTCTTCTCCTAAAAATTTGGTGCGTCTTATGGAGAGGTACATTTTATGGAGCGAAAAATACGGTATAAAGACAAACAATACAAAAGCCAACAATAAAGTAAAATAATCAATGCAATAGCGACATGTGAAAACAATATCAATAGAACATTAAAATAAAATAATGTTTTAGAATTTCAGTGAGACAAGATTTTCATTTGATATACTAAATTAACAAATCCTTTAGAAAGCATGTACTTCAGTCTCTTTTTGAAGAAATTTGTGTCCGTGGCCTGGTCCTGCCTAGGCTGCAAACCACTGTCAGGTCACGGACCAGGGGTTGGGGACCCCTGATCTAGAGAATGTTATGTCCTCAAATCCTTTTGTGTTTTTGAATAGAAGATATTTCCGGATAGTTTGAAATGCATATTCTCTACTTCATGTTCAGGGAAGAACGAAACTTATAGGAATTAAATTGTAATAGTCTCTAACAATCTCCATTAACTGGAACCCATAATAACATATTAGATATTTACATCATTCCAACTCACGATGTAAAGGCCAGATCAATCATTATGAATCACTGTAAAAGCGTACTTCAGATTGTGTCTGTTAATAATCTGTTAAAGGTGCTGAAGCTTATGTTTTATATTGCATAGCAGACACATTTTTTCTACATCAGCTTCTAGGGTGTAATTACTGATCTCTTTTTCAGTATTTCGTGGTTTTTAAGAAAACCATTGTGTGAGTTGGCAAGATATTTGTCAATAAAGTTAATTAGAAACTGTGCATGCGAGGTTACGTTTTGACTTTGCTTACTGTAATTAGCAGTAGATAGCCTTGCATGATTGTTATTTAATAATGATATCATTTTAATACCCACTGCCTGCAGTCAATGTCACTTGTATTATGCCCCGTGAAAATATGTATGATTCCTGATATGAAGCTTCTGTTTGCAAAGGAAGGGAAGGGGAAGGAAAATCCTACAGTATAAGTGGAACATTTTAAATATATATTATTGGGAAGAGCATTTCATATGAGAAAACTGGGAAATTTTCAGTAAATGTGTACAGTTACTATTTAATTTTAGCTGTTGAGGAAACAAAGCATCTGTAGTAGACAATAGTAATCCAGCAGAAAATGTGACTATTCACTTTGCTTCTGTTACTCAACTACTATATGTCTAAATTTGTCATCCAGTATTCTCTCTGGCTCAGAACTGGAATATCAGTGCTTGTGAACTTGAAATTGCATTTTCTTTGATAAAAGCTGCTGTTCTTGTGCAGTGTGTTACAACAGATTTGTTTTCTTACTTGATGTACAGCATATTTCCATGGTAGGTGCCCCATGGTGAAAGGATCAGATAGCAGGAGACCTTTGTTGGCCTGGCATCCTCCAAGCATTGTGTCTTAGCACCTACCCAACTTGAATGACCACAAGGGGACAATTTGACTCTCTGATCTCTGTTTTCTCCTGCACTTTTTGAAGACTGACATGTGTGTTTAGTCGTTTAGTCGTGTCCGACTCTTCGTGACCCCATGGACCAGAGCACGCCAGGCCCTCCTGTCTTCTACTGCCTCCCGGAGTTGTGTCAGGTTCATGTTGGTTGCTTCGCAGACACTGTCCAGCCATCTCATCCTCGGTCGTCCCCTTCTCCTCTTGCCATCCATTTCCTTTCTGTCCTCACTATCTAAGGATCAGACTTACTGTGGTGCTCGACTCCCATGTGTCTTTTAGGGCATGCCCCAAAGCCAACATGTGAAACATTTACATAGGAGGAGACTTTGAACAATGCTATAGATATTGTATCTGATGAGTGTGATATCTTCCAGGATATAATATTTCAAGGCAGCCTTTATCATCCTCAGGATAATTATCTTTAAAAATAGTTACATTTATATTGTTGACTCTCCCAAAATTATAATTCCTTTCCCCCTTTTTATGAATACTTTAGATCTCAAGATTTAATGACCAAGATAGTTTATAGAGGATGGGATGAGATGATAGCTTGTAATCTGGCTTGTGATACACTGGGAACAAATCTTTTTAACTTTATTGGTAGTCATGTCCATCTATGCCTCTATCATTCCTCTAAAAATATTCTTAATTAAATCCATTACATTTCAAATTGACTATTTCACATGCCAGCATAGATTTCTCAAAC